TCTCAGCCACTAAAACATCTTTTTTGATAAATTTTGTATTATATAATAAACAAAAGACTTAATTAAATAGCAAATAAATGCTATAAATCAAAATTAAGGAGACACAATGCAGTTTTAATGTAAAATTAAAACTTAAAAATTTGATATATTTTTTATTATTACATCTAATTTATGTAAACTTCAAATTATTATATAATTTAAAGTTTACATAAGTTTTTTTTTAACTCTTTCTTGCCATTACCTTGGTTGCAATGGCTGGCAAAAGTTTTGTGTCAAACACTTGCGTGTTTGACACAAAACTCTGTCAAAGAGTGGAAACTACTACTACTACTACTAACACTACTACTAAGTTCAGCATAATTATAAAAAGATTAAAAAGATTTTAACATATAATATGTTTTATACTGTTTTCAATTAGTTATGTTTGTTTAATTTTTTCCCTGTACTTTATTATTAAACGTTTGGTGACAGTTTTTTAGAGAGCTTGTCTATTTTGAACATAATTTTATGAAAAGTTTTTGATATATTAATTTTATTTTTTTTTATAGTTATTTTGATTGTAATAAACAAATGATTATTTTTCTGTTACATATTTGGTCTAATATAATCAACACGATTTTTTTGTTGAGATTTGTGTAATAATTTTTTTAAACTTTCTTTTAGAAAAATTATATTCAGCCATTTACAATGGAAGAAGTCAGAAACTCTCGTTATGTTGGAAAAGTAAGTAAAAAAAAAAATTAAAAATCTTTATAAATTTTTTTTTAAGTTTTACAATTTTAATTACAAATGAAATTTATCTAATATTTGTGTATATATTGTGTGTTTTGTTTCCATTTATGTAATTTATTTAGTTTTAATTTAAACTTATTAGGTAATTATAATTATAGATTAAAATATATATATATTTTTTTTCTTCTATTAAAGTACTTTCTATTCAAAATAGTTTCCAAAAAGAACACACAATTTTGATTTTAGATTTGAACTCTGATTTGGCAGATAATTATGTAGAAATAGAAAAAATACACAATTTTTGAAAGTATAAAATTATAGGCACTTGATCAATTATATACTTGATATGTTTTAGAGATTTCAGCTACTAATGCTAGTAATTCCTATCAATTTAGCAAAGTTCTGATCAGCAATTGTTTAAATGAAGAAAATGAAGAAAAAAATAATTTAGACTACCCTAAACTGTCAGTCAATGTAGCAGCAACTTTTTTTTATGTATTTCTTAAGCAAGTTGATGTATGTAGAGATATCCTTCATCATGATCAAACTAGGTTTTATTATTTTAAACTGTTTTCTTAGATCTAATAAAAGTAGGATTTTTTTTTTACCTTGCTTAAGTCATACATTTGTTTAGTTAAACAATTTTCTTGGTCTCTAGAATGTTTAAGTTTTGGTCTCTAGAATGTTTAATGTTTGACTTTTTCTGGTCCACCTGCTAATGCAGTTGTACCCTCAGAGATAAAAATTTTACCAATATACAAATTTTTCTCCATTATTTATTTCAATCTCTTTTTTGACTTCTTCTCTGTATTACCAAATGTACTATTTTTACACATACCAACAATTTTAAGCAAACTTTTTACAACATTTTTTATGAGTTTTTTGCCGAATTCACTTAACAATAATCACACTCTTGTTTTCCTTTAAAAATTTTTAAAAACCTTATGAAATTAATTTATAACCTTTTTAAAAGTTAATTCTCTTTAATGATTTGAATTTGATTTAAACCTTTTCATCTATTTTTAATAACATTTTTTGGTCACTTGTATTCATGAATATTATTCGTTGATATGAAACACATTTTAGTGGCTCTCCAATTCTATTGTATGTCTTTACTTTCCCAATTTTCTTCTGATCATTTGAGATTCTAACTTCAATTGCATTGCAAAGGTCTGATATCCACTAAATCCACTTCTCCTGAGCCGTTTTAATAGCTGATTTTATTTCACTTTTGTTTATCAGCTCTTTATGTCAGCATTTAAAACTGTATTTAAAAAATGTCATATTTTGATTTCAACATTTTTATTACAATTAAATTTAGTTAATTTTCAATAAATTTTTTTTTTTCTACATATATTTTAAATAAAATTTTCAGAAGTTAGAAAAGAAAGTTATACTGACTGCAGCAAAAGTAAGTTCAGTACAGATTTTTAGTTATGTTTTTAGTTATTAAAAAATAAACTGTCATTAAATTATTTGCAATTTAGGTATTAAGCGCTTTCGGTGACAAAAAGGCCTGATAATCAATTAAGGTTCAAATTGATTTTGTGTTATTTTTTATTAAAATCATAAGGTAAACCTGGTACATTTTGATTTAATGTATTTTTAATTTATTAATGATTTTATTTTACTTTTTATTTAAAAAAAAAGAATAAACCTTTTATATATAACTGTACTATAGAAAACGAAATTATATAGTTTTATTTTTTGCCATTATTATTTTGATTTTTTACTTATTGATTTTTAATACTGGTAAAATCTATTACATACAGTATCAATGAAAGTTAAGTCTCTGAAAAACCAAGTCTCCCATCAGAAAACTTCAATAGAATGTATGCCAACTCTATATTACTGGTGCAACAAATACCTTTACTTTAAAGTTTCTTTATAAAGAATAAATAAAAATGTTTTTAATGAAACAATTCAATCACAAAATTATTTTTAATTAATGCTGTTTATAATAAGGTTTTGTTTGTTTAGATTTGATGTAAAATTTGTTGAAAAGTCACAATTTTCATTGCCAACTCAGTATGTTTTTATGAAATTATATTTTTTTCAAATTATTTTTTTTTTGACGAGTTTTTATTCATAAACTAACTTGTTTGCAGCTTTCTAGTTATTGTTATTATGATAATAATCAATTAACTGTAGAGCTCACAATTGCAAGACTCTAAAACATAACAGTATGAAAGCTAAAGTAAAAACCTTTTAAAGCCCTAAAATAAATGCATTGCTGTTTCGAACTGCTGTAGATCAGTTTTTATCTGAATAAATAAAAAGGACAGTATTTTAAAATTACTGGAAACCATCCTGTTACTTTAATTTCCACACTTTAAGCACTGTTAAATTATTATTGTTATTATTATTTTTATTAGATATTATTTATTATTAAAATCAGTATTATATTGTTATGGTATATTATTTATAAAATTGGTTTTAGGGACTTTTTAATATTAAAATAACCTTTAATATTAAAATAACATGTTCACATTTTGTCTATATTAAATCATTTTTGTCTAAATTGTTTGCGAGTCCTATGTAAACGCTAGTATAAATAAGTAAATATCACAACCCAAAATCAATATTCTCAGCATAAAGCTCAAATTCAATAAAAATGTTGATGTGTCATATTTTAGATTTCTTTGTTTTTAAATATCGAAAAAATTACCACAAATAAAGTTGTAAGTGTCTCATGTCTTTAATCAAACTCTTGACACCAATAAAAGATTTTAAATTCATTTTAAGTTTAAAATTTAGATAAGAATATTTTAAATTTATTTAATTTAAATTATTTTTTACTTTTAAATTCAGTTATTTGCTTAATACATTTTTAAAAAGATGTTCAAGTTGTTATTACTTTTTTTAAACAGCATTTATAACATAAATCAAATCTTGCTTTAAGTTGCCCTTGTTATCAACTGATATTCATTTTGAGATTTTTTCTTCAAACAAGAACAATCAGTACAATAAAATATTTCATTTAATTAAATTTAAAATGTTAAAAAATACATTTTATAATATAAAAGATTTTGTTTTAACTTTGTTTATAATTTCTCACTGTTTAAAGGTTAAATAATTTCTTAAACTTAGTGTCTGCGAAGGTTTTGAAGAAGAAAAAAGTTGTTTATCTGAAATTCCTAATGAAGTGTATGATAAATATTTTATTGATGCAACAAGTATCTTTAACATTTTAAACTTTAATTTCTTTGTTTACCTTTTTTCACTTTATCGCATACCAATTAATATACATATAATGTGATTATTATTATTATTTTTTTAATACTGGTATTCATTTATTAGAGTCAATAAAGATTATGTTTCCCAAGAATCTAGCGTTCAATCAGAAAGTCCTGATAAAATGTATGGTATGTTTATTTTATAAAGTCAAAAACTTGAAAATTAAAAAAAAAAAAAAGAAACAGTGATGAAAGAGTTTATTAGCAACACCTTTTTTGAATTAGACTAGTTTATAAGAAAGTAATTTTTCAAGAGTTTAATTAAAAATGTACTTTAAGGGCGACCTGTTAATTGGCAAATTTACTTGAATATATCCCATTTACTCATTGCACAGTGGGTCAATGGAAAGAATGTGAAAAATTTAGTATTCTTATCTCTAATTTAATTTCATTTTCTATATATATTAAAATATTTATATATATATATATATATATATATATATATATATATATATATATATATACATATATATATATATATATATATATATATATATATATATATATATATATATATATATATATATATATATATATATATATATATATATATATATATATAATTTTGCCAATGTAGCAAATGAAACTACCTAGTTGCAATATAGATATTCATAAAATAACACAAAAGCAATATAGGTATTCATAGCAACCAAAAATTAATGAATATATTAAAACAACAATACTCAAATTAGTGAACAGTGGAAAAAATGCTCCTCAAATATTCTATATACTATGACTTAGTAGTTTTGTCCAGAAAAAGTGAGTTTTAACCTACTGTGCACTAATCATCTACTAGCTCCTAATGTTAGACTTTATAAATATACCTTAATTTTGATGTTGATAAATATTTTATCAGCATTTAACATTACTCTTTTTGTTTTTGTTTTTTGATAACAGTAGTTCTAATAGTTTATGATTGATAATCTAAATTTGATTACATTTATTTAGTAGGTTTTAAGATATAAATCTGTTTTTAATACTAGGGCCATTTTTATTATAAATCTGTTTTTAATACTAGGGCCATTGAAAGTTCTGCAGAACCAAAGCTTTAATTAGAAAACTTGAATGAAATGTAAGTTGAATGCTATTTTATTGACACTACAAGATGAGTTATGAAATAAGTAGTTAATGAACTATTCTTTATTTTCAGTTGTCCATTTTTTAGAATGTATACTAACTCTATTTTACTGGTGCGACAAGTGCCTTTACTTTAAAGTTTCTTTATAAAGAATAAACAAAAATGTTTTTAATGAAACAATTCAATTGCAAAATTATTTTTAATTAATGCAGTTTATAATAAGGTTTTGTTTGTTTAGATTTGATAAAAAATGTGTTGAAAAGTCACAATTTTCATTGCCAACTCAGTATGTTTTTTTATGAAAAAATTTGCTTTTATTAGAAAATTTGAATAAAATATAAGTTGAATATTATTTTATTGATACAGCAAGGTATATGAAATAAGTAGTTTTTAAAATATTCTTTATATTTATATGTCCATTTTTGTTACTGATAAATTTTCATCATAGTTTTGATATAAAAAGTTCTGAAGACCCAATATGTTTGTTACAAACTGTGTAAGTTTCTAAATTCTTTTTCAATATGATCCAATAGTTTTTTTTAATAACTTACTATACATAACAGTAATGTACCAATTACATATTTGTGATTAATGCAGATGGATAGAAAAATGCTGATGTAGATTAATTAACCAATTACTAAAATGTTAAAAGCAACTTATGTTAACATGTACAGCTGTTACTTTTTGATGCATGTAAAAGGCTAATTGCATGTGGAGACATAAATGAGGTAAAATTGGATTTGTCGAATAAATATTTAAAGGTAAATGATGTTTAAGTTTTCAAATGCAATGAGATAAACCGTTTGTAATACACGGTTTATACAAAAATCAACTAAATGTCGATTTAAAAAAAAAATTATTTGTCAGTTGTCAGTGGCTCATATCAAAGAGTAAAATTGTCTGAACACATAATAAAGATTTAGGAATTGTTGACAACAAAATAAAAAGCTATGTGACAAGATTTTTGTTTTATAGTATTTATAACAAACAGTGTGGTTTTAAGCCAGGAAAAGTCAATTGTAAAATAACATGTGATGCTTTTAATACATAGCCATTCTTAATATTACTAGCCATTATATACCACCTAACTAACTCTTGGCTCAACTTACTACTTCTCTTAAGGTTTTTTTTTTCTTACCTTTAGGTGGTATATAATGGCTAGTAATATTAAGAATGGCTATGTATTAAAAGCATCACATATTATTTTACAATGGTATTTATTTCAATGGAGATGATTTATTCTTGACTAAAGTGACAGAAAAAAAATATATATTAATAACATTTCAGTGTTGGAAGGATGGAATGACAGTAAAAGGGCTTAGGAGAAATAAAAGTTATGCATTGTTATGCAATGTTAGTTATATTGATTATCTATTTTATAAATGAAGTTTGCAGTATATTTTTTTGCTTTTGGTTTTGACAATATTTCTAAAATCATTAAAAAGATTTTCATTTACACTTTCCTCTTTATTCATTATTTTGAAAATTAAATTTATGCACTTTGATTTTGGTAAAAATGTGTAGGGAAATAAAGTCGAGTTTAACTATAAATTAACCTTTTTTTAACATTTGATCATTTGTAAAAAATAGAAAAATTATTTAATAACGTGATCACTGTTCTGAGAAGAGAAATCTAGTATTGAAATAAGAAAATCATTATCAATTTTTTAATAATGATTTTCTTATAAAAATTATTTGTGAATAAGGTTAAATAAAATTAACTTTTTAAGCATTTTATGATTCTTAAAAAATGTAAAACTTCTTAATTTAGAATTAAAGAAGACTGTGTTTTTGAGACATCAAGTTATTCAAGCAAGAATTTTCCAAAAAAGTATTTTTTGTTTTTTTATGTGAAATTGTTTTTAAAAGATTAATTCAAAAAAACTTTCTAGGCATTTATTCATTCCTAAATGTAAAACATTTTTATTTAAGTGTTGGTGAAAGTCTTGCTACTGAGAATTCAATTTATTCAATTGAAAATCATCCAAAAGAGTATACTTAATCTTAATTTAAAAATAATTTGTTAATTTTATACTGTTTGCAATATTTATTCATTTTGATTGTTTCTTAGAATGAAGGTTTGTCCAGTATGTAAATGGGAAGTGGATGATCTTCCCTGTCATGTGCACATAATTGGTCATTATAAAGTTCTCTGGCAGTAATTTGTCAATTCGGATTAAGAAAGCCAATGAAAAAATAAAATGGTAAAATTTACATTATAAAAAAATGTGTCCTCTCCCTAATTGTTACGCAGTTACCAAAAACATTGGAGAGCATTCAAAGAGCAAAAAGCATGGTATACAAAATCGGAGATGAATACTATTCTTTGCTTAAAAGTGCGAAGCACTTTGATTTTAATTTAAATCCGAAGAATATTCAAGAGCCTCCAAATAAAAATTTTGGTTTGTATTATCGCCCAAAAAATAATAATAAAATAAATATATTGAATGTTGAACCCCAGATTGATATCATTAAAACGGATTTTGTGTTTCCAATAAATAATGAGGATACATTGAATCCTTTACAGACCAAAAAAACTTTTGAATGTTTAACTGATGTGAAACTGAATTCTAATGTAAAATCTTTTTCTTTGCCAGTTGTTTCTCAAATGCAAGCTATTAGTTTCGCAAATAACTACAAATGCAATAATTCTAATGAAACTTTTTCTCTTCCAATTGTTACACAAAAACAAGCTTCTGAAGATAGTAACTTACTGCCTATTGATAAAGACTTTAAAGAAGAATCTAGTTTATCCAGCGAGTCTAGTGATTTTGATTATGAACCACCGAGTAAATCAGAAAAGTCGAATGTTTACTTTCAGTTGAGAAAGTTTTCAGCAATTTTTATAACTACTTAGTTGGTCCAGATCGCAACAGACAATCAAGAAGCATCACTAAAGTCGTTCAAGATGTTAGAAGGATTGTCTTAGCGTTAGGTCTTTCAAGTTGCTTTGCTGACATTTTTAAATTTCCTAAATTATTTTTCGGAGACAAGTATTTGATGGATTATTTAATAAAAAAAATACAAGAGCATCTTCAATCAGAAAATATATGGGGTCTTTTATTGACTTATGCAAGTTTTTAATTTCTGAAGAAGTTGTTGTCTCTGGTGTTAGAAGTGATGAAATTAATATGACCAAAATTAAAATCGAAGATTGGAGGAAAAGTTATAAAAGAAAAGAAAAACTCCAAACTCAGGAAAAAAAAATTTTAAATTATGAAAACTCATAACACCAGAGCACCTTTCAATATACCTGAACCATGAGCATGCTTTAAGGTGGCAGTACCCCAAAAAACAAGCTAAATTTTTTTTTTAACAATTTTCATTCATTGATCATGTCTACTCTTATAATAATTCAAAAAAATTAAAAAAAAAAAAATAATCAAAAGGCCTAAATTACTCTTAATAATTTGGTACTGGAAAATTAATTGCCTTAGCAACGGTCCTTAGAGATACATTTCTTGCAATATCTTAAAAAATAAATGTTCAATTTATATGCTTTTTTTGTGTGCTTATGATTAAATTGTTCCTTAAGAACTCTTGTTAGTTTTTGATCTTATATCCATAAATTGAAACTTCATATTTGTTTCTGTAATATATAGATAATTATCCTTTTATAAAATTTTCTTTGATTGATGGATAATTTTGATTAGTTGTCTGATAAATGGGTTCAAAAAAAAGATATGCTAAATCAAGAGCAAAGAAAAGAAAGTTTCATAAATTAGAAAAAGATTCTCTAAATAATTCAAATGCTTTACAACAAATTTTGCTTGCTTACATTGAAACCTCTAGACAGAGTATGAAAAAAGCCTCAGAGGACATACGTAGGGAAAAACTTAGTGAAAATTATGATGAATCTTCAATTGTCAATGTTGCTGTTAGTTTAGATGGTTCATGACAGCGCAGAGGATACTCCTCAATGAATGGTATAGTCACAGCAATATCTCATGGAAAGTGTATTGATGCTGCTGTCCAGACAAAAAGTTGTTACCCCTGCAAGATATGGTCAAGAAGAAAAGGTACCGCTTATGAGAACTGGAAGATCACACATAACTGCAAGATCAATCATAAGGGTAGCTCAGGAAGTATGGAATCTGTAGGCGCTGTACAAATATTCAAGCGATCTGTCAAGGAGCTTAAACTGAAGTACCTAACATACATTGGAGATGATGATACCAAGTCTTATATGCAAGTATGTGATGCAAATCCACACCCAAGAGTAATTATTGAGAAAGCAGAGTGCATAGGACAATTTCAGAAGAGAGTTGGTGCAAGACTGCGAATGTTGCGAGATCATTACAAAGGTAATACATTATCAGATGGAAAATACATCAGTGGGAAAGGGAGATTAACTGATAAGTGGATAAATACTCTTCAAAACTATTATGGAATAGCAGTACGCCAAAACATTGATAGTCTATATGGGATGAAAAAGGCTGTTGCTGCAGTACTTTTTCACTGCGCACAATCTGACAACTTAGAGCAACAGCACCAGTTTTGCCCTAAAGGTTCAAGTTCATGGTGTAAATATCATTCAGACCAGAAAAATTACAATTAAAAGTGTATTCCAAAAGCTATAATTGAGCTCATTAAGCCAATATTTTCTTACAAAGATCTTGACAGTGATGAATTGCTCAAGAAATGTTTACATGGCCAAACTCAAAATGTCAATGAATCGCTAAATGGGATGGTTTGAGCTCGCGCACCCAAGAGAGTACATGTGGAAAAAACAGTTGTTAAGATTGCTTTGGTCTCTGCAATAATTAGGTTTACTACCAGTGTTTGAAAAATGTAATGTTGTGCCTGGATATTTTACAACAAAAAGTTCTCTAAATGTAGATTATGTTCGAGTTAAGCAGAATGAGATAAAAAGTACAGGTCCCACAAAAAACAGGAGGAAAAAGCTAAGAGCTTTAAAAAAGGCCTTATTGACCAACATAACGAAACAGAAGGTGTTACATACAACAGTGGTGGTTTTTAGTAGGTTTTATTGTGTAAAAAACTTTAATATTTTTTTAAATTGTGTTTTTCAAGCAATTCACTTTTTGTGTATCTTTTAATTTTTTAACAAAGATAACTTTTTAACCGCTCATTGGAATTCTTTCAAATTTTCAGCAATTATTCTTGAGTGTATTTGTGATGTGCTGAACCAAAGAAAATTAACTTTTTTTTATATTAAAGTATTAAAATTTGAGCTTAAGCAAGCTGTACTTATACTTTTTTTTTATTGATAGAATTTAATGATTTTAAAGTTATTAAATGTTGTTTATTGTATAATTTTTAATTCAGCACATTTTTTGAACATATATAAAACTACTTATTAAGTTTGGTTTGTAGAACATGTATGGTTCTCAAGATATTCTTGTTAAAAAAAGGTCAATTTTTTGCCTAAATTTTGCTAATTTATGCGCATAATTATTGAGCAGAGGGGAAAAAAAATTAATTTTGTTATTTTTTGAAATGATTTAATCTAACACTTTAGAAAAACATAAATGTTCCCATATAATATCAAATTTTAAATTTTTTTTCTCTTAAAGGGTACTACCACCTTAAATGCGAAAAGATTATTTGATCTGTTAACACAAAATCCGTTATTGGTTTTATCTCAAACTGATTTTTGCTGTATTAGAGATTATTTGTATATTGTTATTGGATTTTCTACTGCAAATAGATCTGGAGTAATTTCAAATATGACAACTGGTGAATTTTTCAAGGCAAAAGAAGTTGAAAATCTATGGGTTATTTCTGTATGGGACCATAAAACTGCAATGGATTATGGTCCTGCAGATGTAATGATTGAAGATGAACATTATCAACAACTTAAAATCTCTGTTAATTTTGCTAGAAATAAGGTTACATCCAAAGGATTTGATATCGTTTTTTTATCCTGGAGCGGGAACAAAATGAGTTCCGGGTAAATGAGTGATCGGCTAAATAGTCTTTTTACTAAGGTAGTTTTTTTTAAAATTAAAATCAAATTTTTTTATCAAAAGAAAAAAAAAAAATTAAATTAAATCTTCGGTGTAATTATCTTTTATTTGTTAAAGTATATCAAAAAACTTATATTTTTTAATACTAAGGTTGGAATTCGAGATAAATCAGCTAAAGCTAAACTTTGTTTTAACGATTTAAGAAGATCGACTTCAACTTTTGTAAGAGACAAAAAAAAAAGGTTTTGACGACGTTGTTGCGGAGGCTATGAATCATAGCAAATTGACTGCTGACAAACACTATAACGTTAAGAACAGAAAACAAAGTGTGGCTATAAGAAGAAAGATTATCAGAGACCATTATTTTTCTGAAAATCTTCCCAGTACTCCGAAGAAAATTTGGTCGAAAGATGAAACTGATTTTTTAAAATAATTATTAATTGAAAAGGGTTGCTCTTCCCCTAGATTAAGTGAAATAAATAATAGTATTAGCGACAATGCAAACATTAATGCATCACCAACTCAAATTTGTAGCAAATATCGAAGCTTGAAAAGATACGAGGGGGACACAATCAAGGTAAATGTTTAAGGTTAAAAAACGTAATATGTAACTAACTAAAGTTTGAATTATGCAGACTTATATGAACTCTCTACTTTAAACTACATTTTTAGAAACTCGATTCTTCAACTCAACAAAAATTATATCTTTGGGAACCAGACAATCAAAATATATTAGTTACCATTGGAAAAGAATTTATTAATGGTGGTTCCGTTACAAAAAAACGTGTTGAGACGGTTTTAGGTAACACACCGTTATTTTCAAAGTTCAATTTATCTCAAATTAGAACAAGAATAAACTATGAAAAAAAAAAAAAAAAAAAAAAAAAATACAAACAAAAATTAAATAAACATGCATGATACAAGGTGCACTTTGATGAGTGTATTCATTTGGTGTCTATTTTACAGTGCTAATCTTTTAGTTTCTTGTAGGGTTTATATATTGTAGTGATTATCTCTAGTATAATCTCTTACTTGCTAATAAAAAAAGGCTATATAATTGTATGCTCTCTCTCTCTCTCTCTCTCTCTCTCTCTCTCTCTCTCTCTATATATATATATATATATATATATATATATATATATATATATATATGTATATATATATATATATATATATGTATATATGTATATATATAT